TGTTATATTTACCCACTAAATATGGGTAATATAGATTCTATATTTAGAAACCCAAAAATGGTTTGGGTAAATATAAAAATTTTATAATATTAAAAATCTTTTATATCTCTATAATATTAAAAGAGAAGTACATTTAGGAGAATGTCCAAAATTGATTCTAATATTATTCAAATTGTCATTGCCTTATAATTAAATTGATTAAATTGAAAAGGGTAATTTTGAACTAATGCAATGGCAATTTCAGTAATATTCAGCTGAATTTCGGACAATTTTTACACTAGATCCGATCACGGTCGCGCGGATCCTTTGACCCGTTCGTGAGACCCATTTTCATTAATGGCAATTTACGTAATTTCACCAAATTTTAATCAATCTCACGTTTAATTGTTTTATATATATAGTTAGCCCAAAAGAAATAACAAATCCTAAGATTTGGAAAGTAGTTAATGCAAATCTTTGATAATAATAAATTTCGGAAGTTATTTAATATTTTTTAAAAATTGAAATCTTTCTCTAAGCTTATCAAAGATTACAATCAAAGTTATATAAAGAAATCTCTTTTCCTAACAACCTTATCTCTTTTCCTAACAACCTTATAATGTCTTTTAAATTGTGATTTTTTTATAGGAACAAATTTGAATGTTAATTAACATAATATTTATTTACATATATAATTTCTGTTTTGGTTTTGATTGTGAATGATTTTCGTAATGTGTTATACTATTTTTTAGGGAATCAAAATCTTTTTGTTAGTATTCTTAATTATGACCCAAAGGAAAACCTAGAAATCAACCATATAATAACTCTATAAATAATTGACATCGATCTCACAAATTTTGAATGAGTAGTCGTTTCATATTGTTGTTCTTTCTTTTTCTTTTTTTTTTCATGGTTTTTAATCTATTTTATTATTTTGATGTATTTGTGATCAATTTTGTTTCTGTAGTTATACTCTATTCAAATAACTTAATTTAACTTGTGTTTTTTTATTAAACCAGGCAAATCGAATGCACTTTGACATGTATCATTTCTTGAAGAAGGTTATATTCATATCAAGAGAGAATAAGAAGAGCAACAACAACAATCGCGACGAAAACAACAATCCGTTTGTCCTCAAATTATGGTTTATCTAAGATTCAGTCATCTGTCTGCTTCACTTGAAATTTCTTCGCAAGCTTTGAAGAATTTATTGTCAACGTATTCTATTCTTTTTTTACGTTTATGGTTTCTGTAAAAATTTTACTCTTTTAGCATCTGATTGTTTCTGATTTGCTTGATTTGTGTTAGATTAGCATAAATTTTTGAAGGAAGATGGTGAGGCCGTGTGGGATTAAGGTTAACAAGAGAAAGGAGAGACAAGAGGGGTACGATAAAGAAGAAGATGAACAACCAAAGTTCGAGCATGTTAAGAAGGCGAATTCAAATTAGAGGAGAATAATGAAGAGAAGGAAGTGATTGAGGAAGAAGAAGATGATATTGATGAAGGGATATTTATTAGTCTTGCTTATCATAAAACGTAAAAGTTCGGTGTTGTTTTCGTGCTTGAGAAGGTCTCTCTTGAAGTTGCCAAAGTTGGAAAGGTATTTTTGTAGGAATGTTTGCATTAACACAAAGTTATGGATTTGTTCTCGGTGCTAAGTATTTGAAACGATATAGTTTCAGAGCCTAATTTGTGCCAATATATATTTATCATCTACTGAATTCCCACAATCATGCTAATTTCTTGAGAACAAATAACAGGAATCCTGCTTATTACCGACCATATACATCACACATCAGGTTGGGATTTTAGAACTTTCGATGACATATTTTAAATAGAAATTGTGACTCACCGATTAATAAGGCTGGGAGATTGAAAGCAATTTATGTTAGAACAGAAAAAGGTGTCCTTTTTAAAGTTTAGCCCCATGTTTGTATACCAAGAACTTACAAGCAACTGATAACCTTCACCTTAATTTGGTTTAATGGGTAAACTCATTACAATCATGGGTTATCCATAAATTTAACG